CATCACAAAAATCAAGTTTCTTTGCTGATTAAAAAGGTATTTTTAAAAAAAGCTAAAACAAATTTCAAATTCTTTTTTTTTTTGATACATGAATTTTTGATTTTCACAGCGCTGAGTAATCCAGTTCCCCGAAGCATTTTCGACAGTTTACATATCTTTCTATCAACAAAAGGAATATTAAGATCGCCTGGAAGTCAATTTGGGGATTCCATGCATCGATTCTGGGCTCCACATATTATACATGCATTTATACGAATATTTGTGGACGGATTAGTAGACTTTTACACTGGACTTTTACACTTTTACGCAAAGAACTGACTAATACTACTGAATATTTTTCTACTGAAATATTTTTCCGTCTTTATCAAAAGTAGTGTTTACTACCGCTCGAGACTGAATATATTTCCTCCTTTCTTAGCCTTGTTTGGAATTTTTATCACTAGTTGAATAAGTATGTCAGACTGCGTTACTGCTGACAAATATGTCAAAAAATCAAAAGTTCTTCCGCGCTGATTCGCTTTGCGAGGCACAAACGCACGGAAATAGCGCGAAAAGTGGTAACATTTGTCAACAAAATTGCCGGTGATAACGCTATCAATGGTTCTCTCTTCCGATAACTGCTTTCAAGCAAGCTGATAGCAAGTTCGACTTTCTGGCATGCGCCAGCACCAATTTACCATCGAAACTAATGGATGAATCGTAGAGGGAGTATAATGTAATTTCAATTTCACGTCTTTCTTTTCAGAATAGAGAAAAAATACATTTCATACATATGTGTAATGATGGAACGAGACTTGTTGTTTCTGATGCAAGCTGCTTCAAACAGAGCAACTCAGGCCAATTAATGTAATTTCAGATGGTTGGCGGTTCAACGCACTGTGTTTGTAAGAAAGGAACCGTTCGGCCGCAAGGTTCTCCGCGCTGTGTCCCAGAGCCACTGCTTCAGCAGTACCTCAACAATATCATCGGAAACTGTACAGAAATACAAAAAGACTTGATCGAAGTTTATGGGCCGAAAGTTAGCTTCTCCTCTGAATCAGCACGACGAGCGTACGCGCGTAAGGAGCAGGAATGCGACGCAAATGCCAAAAATCCATGCAAAGGTTAGTAAATTTAAAAGCACTACAAGCTCAAATTACAAAAAAAAGTAAGCTGAATTTACCAGAAATCACATACTAAGAATAACAAGAACATTCGGGCTGTCAGTGTGAGTATCCCCTGTTAGTGATCTTACTATTAAATATTAAATAAGTATCAAACATATTCATTTAGCAGGCAAATACGATTTTTCACTGCAAATCCTCCAAAAAAAAAAATCTTAAAATTACTTTTTATTCTCAGATACCTGGATTTTAGGACCTCTCGAGCAACCGCCGTGGGGATCCAGTATTTTTGGGGTACTTTAACATGTCGGACACCAGGACAGCTGTGGCAGATCCTTTAATTCTGATCCACATGTCTCTCTCAGATTCAATTTTTCTTTTTGAAAAATCATGGTCATCAATTTAGACCAACCAATTTAACAATTGTTGTTACAACTGCGAGAATATTTTAGGTTACGGTGAGGCGTGCCTGCCAGATTCATCCGGCCGATATCGCTGCGCTTGTGTAAACAACGGTAGTCGAGTGGATGGTGTATGTTTAGGTTCGTCTGTAAATTTTGCAAACTCTTTTTCTTGGATGTTTTTTGGATAAGTGCATCCAGGAAAAGTGTGTAGCACATAAAGGCTGAAACAGCGAGTTTTGTATAGAAGTAATGGGGCAAGATGAAAAAAAAAAGCAAAATTGCAAATTATTGAGATAGAAATTGATAGTTTTGTTGAGTCCCAGTAACATCACTTTTTGCAATACTGCTTTTTCTTTCCTGTTCTGAAAACACTAACCTTGTGCAGCTGATTACTCGGAATAGCATGCACTTGCTTTCCAAAGAAAGAACTTTGGAAAAATGTCTTCCTTCTAGTAAGTACAGACGAAATGACAATATTTGAATTTAGTAATTGAAAGTTAAATTAAATCTATTTCAAGATTAGTTTAAGCTGAGTTAGGCGGCGTATACACATAGAGTGGACGGCTCGGTACCAATGGAGATATGCAATTCAAAATCGAAGTACTTCGCATAGCCGCTAGCAACATGTGAAAGCATCCCAGCAACATCACTGGCAGAAGAAGCTCGCAAAGATAGTTTGAGTGATCTTCATATTTTTGTTGATTTTAAAATTACTACACAAGAAAGAGCACTGTGATACTAAGTGAGACGCTGCAGTGAATTCGTCCGTTTCAGTTTCCTTGTAATTTAGTGAATGAATGTGCGAAAGCGGAACTGAATGATTGTGATCCGAACGCCTCATGTATGGATAGCGTGTTATCCTACGAGTGCTTCTGCAATGAGGGATTCATCGATATGTCAACTTCACCGAAAACGCGACCAGGCATAAAATGCGCCAAATGTCTGTTTTTGAAATTACGCTATTTCTACCTATTTCGAACCTCACGGATGAACTTTAATTTACCAAAATAACATTTGAGGTACCATGTATAATCAGATTTATTTTCTTCCATTAGACAGTAGAGCTGCTAAAGGTCAAGCTTTCGACTCCGTCAGTGGGACAACCAATTCGTGTACAATTCGTTCATTTGTTTCGGTGGAAAATTGATGCTAACTCATGACAGAGTCAGAACCGTTATTAGATTATTTGTAAATAACCCTCGAAAAAAGAAACCATTGGCAGTCTTGCCGTGTTTTCTGCATTCATGTGCTGTCGTTAGGTTCTACTCCCGGCTGTCCAACTTCACACAGAAAGTAAGCTGTGGTGGGAATTTTACTTTATTTTTCTGCCTCATTGTACACATAATTGTACAGACTTGCTAAGCTGAGTTCTTGTACGTGTTTTCCTACATAACATAGCCATTGAATTTTAGCAGTCCAATA